GAGCCGAGCGTGTACGTGTTTTCTTATGGAAATAGCCTTTCAAGCTACGACCTAGACCAAATTCCCTTCTCATGGAGATGCGACGGTTAGCAGGGAAATACAGTACAAAACCTAAAGTGAGGATCATCGTGTCGCGTTTCTTTTCGTTTTGCTTCCGAAAAATTCAGCTTCCACCCTTGTATGAATTAACACCCTGTGTCCGTTTAAAGATAACCACAGGAATCGAACGCGGGGTTAGTGAATTTAAATCAGTTCAACGCGGTGGAAAAGACGGAATTTCTGCGCGAGACGGAAAAGAAATACACGGACGGGGAACTCGTGAAAATTCGGCTGTTCCGGACAGAAACTTTTACGCGGCATGGCGCAGAACGCAACCCTCTCGAGCAACTTCGATACCGTACACGAGCAACCCCCCTTCCTGCCTTCAACTTTCCTGGAACTCGTGTCGTGGATTATACTTTGGTGCGAATTTTGGCGTAGGGTGAAGGTACCTAATATCACCTGGCCAAAATAAAATCGCTGTCAATTAAATAATAATTGATACTTTTGTATGTGATTTGTTTAAACGTAACGAAAAAGTATTCGTGTTTTATGTGACATAAGTTCGAACCGTTGAAACACATATTTTCAATTGGAACTCGAAAAACGTAAGGCATGCAAAAATTGGGTTCTGAAAAAAATGTACCTAACCATCACCTACTCAAGAAATATTAATTAATTCATGCATATATTAGTTTTCAATGGCAATTTCTTATGTGTTTTTATTATTTTCGGTATTGGGAGCATTAAAGTTAGACGGTGTCGAGAACATGCATCCTGATAGAAGAAAAATGCTATTTTCATTAAGAAAAATGTTTGAATCGACTACATTCCTTAAGTCTTTAATTATCGTTCATATGACGCTGCAATCACAGCATGTATTCTTGCACAGCATGTATTAGGAACATGGTATTAGGTACCTTCACCTTACAACTGGGAAAATAGAGGGGCTACGGGAAAAATTAGACTTCCCATCGAGATGCATGACAATTAGAAGTTTCGTTGAAGCGTAAGAGTATCTGTAAGAAACAGGATAAAGCTGTTCGAAATAACGACGTTCGACCAATCGAATCAGAGGATCTTAACGGGCGCCATTTCGTAGCGATAATCGAGTCGAATCGCCGTGAACCGAATTTCCTTTGGTTTCAAGCTGGATCAACGGCGTATCCCACGGTAACCCGATCACTACGTCTGTTTTATCCTCCTCGAAGAAAGTTGCCTTCGGTTTTTCCGAAAATTCTTATTCGATGACCGCGGGAAAAAAAGGAAGGCGTGCCCCACGATTCGTTCCAACGTTCCCGTATAAAAGTCACGACGGGGACACACCAATGCCTCAAGTGATAAATAGATTACACGGACGCGTCTCGAATAATTTCGAGCGGAACACCGGGGCTTCCGGTGCGAACGCCCTTGCCAGAGATAGATCTTCCACCCTGTTTCGCTTGTACCATCACGGCGAAAGTTTGCTCGTTGATCGGATCAGGGTCGTTTCCCTTGTCGTTTCTTTTTTTAAATATTTAAAACGTGTTTATTTCCAGAAAGGAATCGATCTGTTAATTGTCAGTTGAAAACGTTCGACGGATCTTTCCAAGCTAATAGAACGGGCATTTATATTTGCGAGCGTTCTTCCACAATTTCCATACACGTACCTGTAAGTTCCTATTTCTAGAAATGTAATTACATACTCTGTGCGATATGCTTCATGAGTGCTCAGTGATCGGTGTTTATTTACAAAGGATATCAATATTTAAGCAGATTGGCGATCGATCGGGATCGTAGATTATATTATTTTTCAAATTCTATTTTTGCGTTACATATCATAGTATTGTTTAGTGGTAATAACAAGTAAAAACTGCTTTTTTGTACTATATTCGGGTAAATTTTAAGTAACGGATAAATGAAAATAATCACATTTTGATGATCGACGTTATTTCTACTTCTGAACCAGTACGACCAGACGGTTTTTTTACTGTTGAACTACTATTGGTATCACTGTTTTTTCTCCTATCTAATTTTTCAGATGTCAGACAAGTAAATATATTCTTCCTTTCGCGATTAAACCCGTGTGTTCTGTCTTGCGGACTGACACAACGGGCGACATTACCTCAGCAGTTTGTCTTACTTACTCGAATATTCTTATTTAAATTGAAATCCTGGATACATTACCGTTCGTACAGGCCATATATATTCATCCTGTGTCACGGAAAGCTATCCACCGCAAAGTATGCTCGGGAACTTCTTAATCCTCCGCCTTTTTCGCGCTGTACGGCTCCTACCCCTATCAGTTCCGACGCGTGGGATATTGATACAGCAGCGAAGGTGTTCGTCGGGGAAACGGATGGAAATTACACTCGGTGACAGCGACACCACCCCCATACCTATGATAAATAAATAGATCACGCCATCCGAGAACGGCAACCAGGTTTCTTTGATCCGTGGTTTCACCGGGAATCTCGCGGAATAAGTTGTCGATCCGAACGAAACGAAAAATCATCCCTCGAAATCGAACGGAGAGAAAGAAGACTGGACTCCTGGGTCTAATATTACGCGTTTCATTTTAATTAGGGGTGGGTTGGAACTTAATTTTTCAATTCTTGAAACTCGAATCTGACGCTTTATAAGATTTCGAAATTTTCTTCGAAACTTGATTGCCTGATTTTGGTTTATGAGAGGAATGTTTTTTTTTTAGAACTGAATCCTCAACAGATTCTTTGCACAAACCTTTATTGATCACAATTAAACGAAACAGAAAGAAGAACATAACAATTTATTCACGTATTCTTTTTTTTCTACTTGTTACTACCACTTAACAATACTACCTGTATTTCTCCAATCCCGATCGATCGCCAATCTGCTTACATTTCAATAATCTTAAAAACAAAAACCGATCACCGAGTACTCATGAAGCATCTCGCACCGAATATTCGATACACACACGAATCGAATATCTCGGCGTATTCTGCAAACGATTCCTCTCAATCGATTTTCTATTTTTTCCTCGTCTGAGTTTCCAAAATTTCGAATCGCGAAAAAAAGTGCAAAGTTTCATCTTCTCGTACCTCAAAACTTTCTCCAGTTTCGAGGAACCCATTCCTAATTTTAATGAATCGACCCTCGTTAAAATTCAACGGGAAACGGGGATTCTCAGGATTCAATCGCGCGTTTCTTCCGTTCGACGTTTCTTCTCCCCTGTTCGACGGACACGAAAATTTTCTTGCCCGTCAACGTTGGACCGGGATCAGCAAAATTCTCCCTCCGGGCTATTATGCATTCACGCGCGAATCGCGCGAGCCGCTGCAAGTAGCGACACCCTGTGATGGATGAGCCAGCCGATTCAGGGCGCGAATTATCTGTTTCGAGATGGCCGGTGACCTAAGACGTCCGCCCGGTTTTACCAATGATTTACGAACGTGTTTTATACAGCGGGAGGACCGTCTGGTCCTTAATCCAGCCTCTACGCTCGCTCCTCTGGGCGGTTGATTTATTCCCGGTTAATGGACGGGATGAAAATTTAACGGCGAAACGATCTTAGTCGACGCCCCGATGTCGCACGATCGAGACCGCGCGCCCTTCAATGGACGGGATCGATTTTAACGTCGGAAACTGTTAATAACAATGAAGCACCGAGACATTACGGCGACTGAAACGAATCCCTCACACCGGAAGTGTTGGAAGAAATTTAAAGAGACAGAACACTGTAACGATCCCAAAAGTATTTTTGGGATTTTTTTCGAAACTGTTTGAATACTTTACTTAACATTTCAATATAATGAAAAGATTTGTTTTAGACGATGTAGGGCGGATATATCCGCAGTGGAAGGCCCGTAATTTTGTACAGTAAATCCTGGATGAATGCTCGATGATTCCTCGGCACTGAACATTTCATAAATTAATGACCTTGTGCGGTTGAAATAACTATCATTGGCTTCGAAAGTCCAAATCCATCACTGTGCTGAACCTGATTAAAAAGCCAGTAATACCATGGAGCCTTCGAACACTCATCGAGGATTTATTGTACTCCATTAAAAATTACGACTACCGTGTTGACAGCGATTAGGCTATACAGTCCACCAAAGGTCAAAACATACAAATTTTCAGTAACTACATATAGAACAATATTAACCGACGTAGGGAAAATTTAATAACTGAAAAAATTTACAAAAATGGTGGACCTTTAAAGAAAAATGTCAAGGTTCTCAAGCCAATGAATGTATGTTATTAGTAAAAAAGCACAAATGGAAAAATTCAATTTAAAATATTGAACATCATATTAGATCGTTAGAACATTACATAGATCGAGCACCACAAATAATCATAGGTACTGTTCGTCGATGTTTAACCTATTTCCCTATAACATCGAGTCAGACTCTTGTTAACAAAATCGATGCAACAAAGAAGAATGTTATTCGGGTTTCTTTAATATTTCACTGTTTACAGTAAAAATACAGTTGCAATAAGTACAGAATTCCTTTCGTTTCTGGGAGACCATCGACAACAATGTAATCTCGTAAGGCAAGGGGTGGAAATCACGAATCCAGCGAGAATTTCGAATTGTTAACAGGAAAATGAGTCTTCCAGATCGCGAAGCAATCCCCTAGTAAAACGTTCCGGGGGCAGGGTTGGAACTGATTGCAGCCGAGGCGTGAATTATACGATGCCCCCACGGTTGCAGAACACGTAGTGTCTCGCGCATAAGTCTGCGGTTATCTTCGAATCGGTCAGGTAGAAACGTGGCGCGTCCTTCCTCCCCGCCCCATCCCGCCGCGTAATTGCGGCGATCAATTAACGCGCGATTAACAGCACTCAACGAACGAGGCGGCCGAGCAAACAGGCAACCGGCGTGCGCGCGCTCATTAACCGCACGCGAGCCATGCATGCGCCTACAAAAAGGTATTTCTGTTTTCCTCGCTCCAACCGCCATACACGCACGCACGCATCCTGTCGTCGCTAAAACGGCTCAGTGTATCAAGATGTCCACGTGATGATATGGATCGGCTTCGGGTTCCTGATGACGTTCCTGAAGAGGTACGGCCAGAGCGCTATCGGTCTGACGTTCCTCGTCGGCGCGATCCTCGTACAGGTCGCGATGATCTGCGAGGGCGTGATGGAGATCAAGACGGACAAGAAGGCGTACCTGTCGTTGGGAAGGTCGGTAGAATTTGTTTTAATCGGGAAAAATTTACTTGTTCTGAAAGGGAAGATCTGTTTAATCCTCGTATTACGAATACAGGATCATTTTGACCCCCTTGTTGGGGGCAACAACCAACAGCCTCTATTAAAACGCATGCAATTTCAAGGATTTTTTTTTTTTGAATGATTTATTCCAGAAATTTGTTAGATGTAGGTGTAACAATTGTAGAATAATAATTCAAGAAGTGAATGCTATTGAGCTTTCGACTGAAGTTTGCCAATTGGGCAAGTTGATTAAATAACATGATCCAAGGTACTTTAAAATTTTTGTATCGTGAAAGTATGCCATAATCAGTTTAGTTATATTTATTTTTTAACTAGAATCAATGCTTTCCCCGTGATGCACGGAACACGAACAGTACTTGTACAATCTCCGTCAAGGATCCTTATAAAAAGTAATCGAAAGTTATCGGAAAGTAACTTTTTTATTTGTTATCCTTGCCACAAACAGAAAAATCGTTCGAGCGAAAGATAACGAGAGGGAAAGTAATTACTTCCCCGTCTGATTATTATCATTGCATTCGCAGTGAGAATTTTCTGAGTGGTTGAAAACCCCCTGAGCAAGACCAGATTTCTGTCGGAATTAACGCGAAAATTAGTACCGTAAGCATGCTAATTAAAACGTATAATATTCATGGAGGGGGAGGTCGTGCTTCCTGAAAACCGGATTAACTTTTCTTCGCCCCTTTCCTTTTGTCATTCGTATGCCTGCTTACGAAGATCTCGCGAAATACTTGGACTCTTTTCGATCCTTTCGTCTGCTGGAAGAAAATGGTTCGAAGTATCTTTCCTCGATTCAGAGTGTGAACTGTTTCCGAACGTGTCTCGCCAGAAGTGTTTGCGACCTGTGCGCATCGAGAAACGAAATAAATTCACTCGGAAGGGGGGATAGGTAATATACAGATCGGGGTCCCGATTGGCTGAAAAAAAGTCCGATGGTATTTTTGTCGAGAGGCTCGGATGCAAAATACATTCGTGGTCCGGATGCACCATTGAATACCAAAGCCGGCTTGTAAGATTGTGCTTGGTTTCGTGCATGAATAGTTAACAAGCGTGGCCGGGTACGCAGACACTTCGTTTCCCCGAGTTTCGCCTCCTTTCCATAGAAATTGTAATTCTCACTGGACCGGGAAGAAAATGACAATTCGATGAAATAACGCGTCGTGTCTGGTGAAAGAAAATGGAACGGATATACGGTGGCGCAAATACATTCAATTCGTCCTTGTTAAAATTTCCTGTTTAATATTTCGTACGATGCTGCTCGTCTATGAATTAATTTCTCGTTAATTCTTTCGCGGTGTAATTACAAGAGAAACTCCAGTGAAATTTCATGAATAGAACTTTTCATTCCAACAATTTCTATTGCATAATACAATATATTGTTTATATTCATATGCAGGATGGACCACGAAATATGATCAGTTTCGTGGTCCACCCCGTATAAATCCAAACTAACCGGTGCATCTAAACTCTTCACTCTTAATTTCAACAGAAGAAATAATTATAATTTCGATTCTACCAAGAATCGATCATTGGATGTTAGAACTTTCATAGGACTACTAGATAGTAGTATCGAATACGATTCATCGACGAACGTTCAAAGCGCGAGTTATTATTGATGACGCTATCGTTAGCAACAACTCGAAAGCAAATAACTTCGATCAACAGGGGGATCCGTGATATCAAACCTCTGCCCCATTCCGTGATGCGACCTGTTTGCATACCCAGTCCTCCCCCTCCCCTCCGATATATTCCTGCGGATGTTATGAATACTGATCTCCGGTTTCGAGGTTCTACCTGCAGGTTAATAACGCCAGTATCGATCACCCCTATCTCTTACCCGGTAACCACTTTCAGCCTTCTGAGCGCCGACATTGCGGTGGCCGCCCCGTTGATATCCATGGGCGCGCTCCTCGGTAAGACGACCTACATACAGCTCGTGTTCATGGGTATCCTCGAGCTGATCATGTTCACCGTGAACAAGTACGTGGGGGAGCATATACTCATGGTAAGTTTACCCCTTTTGCCCATCGACCGCGCGTGCCGACCACCGTCTTGTCCATAGCACCGCCCCCCCCCCCCCCCCCCCCCCCCCCCACGTTGTTGTCAGAAACACCGGTGGACAGTCTAAATATCGTTTGACGATCGTAAATGTGGAAGCTTACGGGTCGGGGAATATTTTTTCAATTTTTCAAAATCGTGCTTGCGATGATAAGGTTGGAACGGATCGTGAGATCTGTTGTGCAAATGTGATATGTCTTGAGGGGGTTTCGTTACTCGAGGAAACTGATTTTAGGCGTTGATAAACAATCAATGATTAAAGATTTATTTTCAGAGACTAGAAATAAACAGAAATATGGTTACTGTATTAAAGATTCTATCAATTCTCATATAGAATGAATATTCTACTAAAATTTATTAAACTTCTTAATATACTACATTTCAGACAATTGAGTATAAGTGCATAACATCTGCAATGTAACGCTAACACATGTTAGAAGACAGGCTGTAGAAATTATAGGAAGTCCCCGGTTATCTCATTTTATTTTGCAATCAAAACGTACATTCTTCGATTTTTCCCGAGGAATAAACATTGCAAAACGCACGATTGACAGCGTCACATTTCGAGTACAACGGGAAAGAACGAACAATTATCGAGTCCGACTGTCCACTTCCGTGGTGACAAAAAAAAAAAAGAAAGGAATCGACGAGACGGGGGAAGATTTGTTTTGTGCTTCGGGGACGGCTCGCTATTGTTTTTGCCCACCGATGGCGAGAATCGATTTACAGGTGGGAGACACGCCTTTCGCGACAGACGAAATGAAAACTTTTCCTACCGTTCCAATAGGCGGCCGACGCCGGTGACAGCATGTTCGTCCATGCGTTCGGGGCGTACTTCGGGCTGGCCGTCAGTTTCGTGATGGGAATGAAAGAGAAACCGAAGGAGCACCATCTCGAGGGACCGTCTTATAATTCGGACATATTCGCGATGATCGGTACGCTTAACTTTATTCTAACTTTATCTGTTCTCACGCCTAAATCCCGCTTGTGAGTTTCTCATGCGAATAGAATTTATTTGTCAACGCAAACTTTAGGACAATTCTTGGATAGCTATATAATTTCTATTGTAAGACAGAAGAATTTGCTAGAGTCTAACTGTAAGTAGAATTGTGGTATTATGGTCAGACACGATTTGGTGACTTACAAATGAAGGACCCCATTTGACCGACTTCAATTTAACGATGTTTTGTAAGGTATACAGTTTCCTAATGATATATTTATGTGAAATATTAGTTGTAAACACTAAATAATTCTAAAGACATTCCGTGGAGGGTAGGAAGTAGAAACTCTCACGAGGGACTTTTTATCCAACTCTCATCGCGTCTTTACTGTACTATCATCTTAAAAAACCCTGTTAACTCATACTCTATCGACATCTTGTTTCTCTTACTACTGAATGATCTAGGATCGAAACATCACCCAGTTGTTAGATCGACCCCCTTTGCTCGAAGAAGGGACTAATAGTTTACTCGCGATAGGTACGGTGTTCCTGTGGCTGTTTTGGCCGTCTTTTAACAGCGCCGCCCTCAAAGGTGACGATCAACACAGAGCAATTATAAACACCCTCCTCTCGATCTCGGCCAGCTGCGTGATCGCTTTCGCTACCTCGGCCCTGGTCTCCAAGGACAGCAAGTTCAACATGGTCCACGTACAGAATTCGACGTTGGCCGGTGGTGTGGCCATCGGCACCGCGGCAGGTACGACGTCAATTAACTAATTGTTGACCCATATAAACATTGTATATATGCAACACACGTACAGCTAACCGTGATGACATTTTCCGAATAAACACAGGCATGATGTGTGAACCAGTAGGCGCTCTGGTCGTGGGCTCTTTGGCCGGTCTGTTCAGCGTGCTTGGATACAAATACCTCACGGTAATTGATTCCCTCTCTGTTTTCAAGCAAGCCTTCGTGTTCCTGATTGGATATATCGGTTCTATTCAATTGAGTTAATTAATTTGTAAATATTGAATTGCACTCTGTGCATGCAAAAGTATATTGACACAATTTCGTTAACCCTCTAATGATAAGGTCCGGGTCGTATCCAACCCAAGTTATAATTCCTCTTGTACTGTCCCCACTTTATTTTTTATAAGTTTCTTATTATTCTCGTCTTAAAATATGTTTCATTATTCAGTAAACGTTTAATACTTATATTATTATACGTTATATTACTCAATTATTAATCCTTACTATATAAACAGAAATAAAAAATTCAAATTTCTTTTCACCCGTCTGAAAATAGCAAAAAAGGTCACGGGTCGGATCCGACCCCACCTCACCAAATACGACTTTAAACATCGCCTTACCATTCGGGGGTTAACATTAAATAACAGGTAACGTTTTATTATTCGATAGTTTTTAATTTTTCTTATAGAAAAATACAGATACGCAATTGTAAATATGTATCACGACCCAAAAGGCTGAAACGCAACGATTTCCACGGTATATTAAACATTCCACGTGGGTTACTGCGAAAAGTATAAAGAAGTTTCGCGAGTCGAGCGGCGAATCACGAGTGCCAGGGGGAGGGGGTGGTGGCCACTATTTAAACACGTGCGTCTCTTTTTCAAGTATCCATTAAGGTTTTAATGGCGGCCTTATCGCGCCGAGCACTAAATTTAATTTACGCGCGATTCATAATCGTTCCGCCGTGCCTCGCGCGAACTACCAGGCCGACGACGTCGACGACGGCGCGTCCTATGCTCGTCGTTCCATCGACGGAACCTACTTTCCGCGGAAATTTATATTCCACGTATACGGTGTTACCCGGCGAGAGAAGTTTCCTCGCCACTTTGGCAGCGTAAAAATTTCAGTCGACGCGGATAGATCACAGGAGTCTTCTCGTCAACACGCATACATGATTACTGAGGCCGGATATCGTTTACGTCCCCCTGAAATATGCCGGTTCGTTCGACGGTATTACGTTGTCAATTTTTTTTTTTTTTTTTTTTTCCCAAGGGCTCCTGTAAACATTTCACGCGCAGCGGTATTCATTCGCGTGTACTTTGGCGGAACCAAGAAAATGAAAACTGAGTGCATCTTCTTGACTCAAGGGAATCGTGAATAATGGACGGTTATCGTGAGATCCATCCATAGATCGTAATTTAAGGACAGCATTTTTTACATTACTGAAATACACATTTCAAAAATATCGCCTGAATATTTCCGAAAGAGATTCATAAATTTCGCAGTTCAGTAATCACTTAATAACACTCATTAGGTAGGGATTAACGTTTCTGTTAACCAATATTGCTCGTTTAACGTTTCCCCTTATTTTCCATATTGCGATAATTATTAAAAATTTTCTTCCATCTACATCCTCGAGCCCCACCGCCATTTTCTTATAGACTTTAGGAGATCGCGATGATACTTTGTTCTTTCCGGTTCGCGCTTCTTTTCCCGTTCTTTCGTGGAACTTTCTCCGCCCCCTCTGACCGTGGCGGATCAAATGCAGTTTCGAGCGCATTAATTAGCGATTCGCCATCAAGACGGAAGTCTGTCTCGGCAATTCGCGCAGATAGTAGAAGGAGAAACGACGGACAGACGGTGGTCTGGTGAAGATTTTTACGGGAAACGGTGGGGAGAGGAGCGCGAACCCAAGAGGCACTTCGCGGTATCGTTAAAAGATTCGAGCAAATAGATTCTCGAACAAAAGCGGCAACGGCAAAGCGTCGTTCCGTTCGAGTGGCGGTGAAATAAGAGAAACGACCGGAATAAAAAGAAAAAATGAAAAAAATACGCAAAGTTCAACGAAGCCGTTCACGCTTATCGAGGGACCGAGACACTTCTCTTCGGCCATCTTTTATGCCGCCGGGGGGACTGTTCTTTACTCGTCGATGGCGAGGAAGAACACTTCGATGGCTAATACACAGACCTCTGGCGATTGAATTTCCGCGAGGGAACACGGGTTGGTGAGAGATCGATTTTATGGATCGTTAACCATCGACGAGGGAATCCTTCAATTTTAAACCGGATATCTCTCTGGTTAATATCGAAGGGAGGATCCGCCATTTTGTGACAAGTTTCGCGTGTACGAGTTATCCGAGCATATAGGACCCGAGACACGTAATTCTGATATTAAAGGCTCGCAATTATTCGGATATGCAATCTTTTAGCGGTGGGTATTCTCGATAAAAAGGATCGTAAAATATAAGGGACCGTGTACGCACGTGTTTATCGAAAGCCGTCAAAAAGCGATACTACACGTGTTAACGACACCTAGTTTCGGCGGGAAACCGTGGCGGAAAAATAAAAATATAAAAAATTGTTTCAACGCAACGGGTGATATCGTTCACTTAGATTTTCATGTTTTTGTTATCGTTCGTTCGTTTAACGGCCACGTAGATCTGCGTTTTCCGCGACACGACCGCCGAAAAAGCATAACAGTAAATACAACCGTATCTGGAAAAACGTGCGCCGAGTGCTCGCGTGCAATCTACGGTAGATAATGGTCGTAAATTTTCACGCGTATTATTAATAACGATTATTAAAATTGTACACATCATTATTCAAAGTGTTCCCGTGGGAGGAATACTGTTTCAATTAAATAGCCCCGTACACTTCGTCCATTCCGAAACGAAAGGAAATTATATTCAATAAAACGAAGAGACTCCTGTAACGTTTATTCATCGACGAAACTTCGATCTGTAACTTCACGGAAGTAATCATAATTTAAGACGAGATTGCTCGCAAGTTTTTATACACGGAAAAATAAAAATTTATTTCCCGCAATAAACTTATACAGGCCGAAGGGATTCGTATTACACGAAGTATATAAAACGTAAACCAGAGATGGGGAAAATTTTATTCGAACAGACCATCCACACCCTTAGACTTGAACCAACTTGAACTCAACAAATGTTACTTCTAACACAGTTTCTGTCTCAACAAAAACAGACGCCCCTTAAGAATTCCGTTTTAATCAGACAAGAAAGAATTGTATACCTACTAATTGCAAGGGACTGAAGACAACCGACCCTAACTCCATTAGATCTACCCCACTGTCCTCATTCTAGAATCTAGAATGAGAGGACAGCAAGGTTCGCCTAATGGAGTTAGGGTCAGATTAAAGTCAACGGTCCTGTAAGTACCTGACCCAAATACCAAAAAGAGAAAAACTTTTTTCCCGTTCGGTCTCGAGTTTCTCCCGCCCCGATACATAATTTGTTTCAGCCCCTGATACAGAAACGTCTACGCGTGCACGACACGTGCGGCGTTCATAACCTTCACGGGATGCCGGGCGTTTTGGCGGGAATTTTCGGCGCCCTGATGGCCGGCCTGGCCACGGAAGCCTCTTACGATTATTCCCTTTACGAGGTACGTAACTTGCTTCTCCGTCGCGACCCCGTTACAGGAATTAATTGGGCCGACTGTTCGGGTAATTAACTTCGTAAGGGGACAGTTCGCTAGGTATGCGAACTGGCCGTCGCCAGTTCCGAACTAACAGCTGAATTGGGAACACAGGCGACCGAACTTTCCCGGTTCCCTTACAAAAACCGGCAATTGCTTAATCTGTTAACCGTGAAACGAACGTTCCTAGTCACCGGTACGCGCAAGAAACTCGCGATTGTTATTCCGGTCCATGGAAGACCCTCTTTTTTTTGGTCTGTGTCACGGCGTGTACGATGGAGGGAGCCATTTTTATATCCATTCCTATGTGAACGGAATTTGAAATTCTTGGCGCTGTATTGAAATCGTTTTTGATTGTGCAACATTAACTGGGACGTCTTTTTTTTTTTTCGATTTGTTGACCCTTGAAATATTGACCGGTTCCTGGGATATAATGCAGAGATTTATTTGAAATGTAACGTAAGACTCATTTTTTTTTGGATCCAAATGTGATATTGCTGATAGGATAATTTTCACGGTAGTTAAAATATCTTTGAAGGGATTTATATGATGGCCTTTTGTGATTGAGTCTGTGCCGGTAATAATCGATGTTACATTTTTTTTCCTCTCGACAGATTTTCCCTGCACGAGCGCCAAGCACTGAAACAATGGTCGCCGAGATGAGGGACTATTATGGTATATCGCCCGGGCTGAACAGAACGGCGGGACAGCAGGCAGGCTATCAATTATTAGCACTCGCGATCACTGTGGTAATTGCCATCGTTTCCGGATTAGTAACAGGTAGTCATTTTTCATAGATTGTTCAGATAATTGGCCGTTCTTCTGATGGCTGGACTTATCTCCTGATTGATTTATCAGCCGCTCGCTATAATCTTGTTTCGATACGTATAATTGAAGTTTTATGCCGAATGAAAGTAATCATTCGTTCCCATTTATTGTCTATATTGACTTACTTGAGACAGCTTCGACTAATTTCATTGTAACGATAAATGGTGTCACGTGAACAAGCGTATAAATGATATTCTAGGTTTAATATTACGTATGTCGATCTGCGGTTCAATATCAGAAGAGCAGAAATTCGATGACGAGGCACATTGGGAACTGGAGGAAGAGACTTCGCATGAATCAAAAGTTAAAGAGGGAAACAATTCTGGTGATCAGTTGCCGATGGCTTCTATTTGAAGAAAATTATTCTTGCCCCCCCCCCCCGCCGGCCCCTCATCCTCTTTCCTTAAGTAAAAATCTGTTCATTTAATTAAAAAAATATGTTACAATATGCAAATAAACATATATACGTTTAATTGAATATTTTACGACAGTGAATATAGGTGCACGATCAACAGGTAGCATGGATGTAACCAAGTGAGGAAGTAATACTACAAAAAATATTTTTAAAACGAAAACAATCAAAATTAACACATATCAACAAACATGTAATTGTTATCCAAGAACAGCATGCAACAAACGTACAGTACAGGTACAACGTTTTTACAGACATTATTTGTATTTTTTTAGAAAACTTTCTATAAATTTATACAATAAATAGTTTGTAACATAAACAGATTCAATATAATATATGTACGAATGTTTCTGGAAATTGCACAGCAGCTTTTATCGTAATCGCCAGGCTTCTGTATATGTGTTCTTTTTTATCTTAATTAAGAACAATGTACTCTTTGCATCGTCAAGGCATCAAGAACAATAAGAATCTTGACATGATCATATGTTATCCCTCCTAGATTTCTGTATATCATTATATTCATAATAGCAATAATAATTGTTCGTTCCCTGAATCTGTCGATAACAGTCCACGAAATACCTCGGAATAATTAAGTTTGTATATTTCATTATTAGAATCAACAATTATTTCATCAGAGCGTGTACTACGGCTTTCGCGTTCAATGACTTCAGGTCCGTGTATGTTTGTCCGGTACCAACAAAAACGATTGGTTGACCGGTAATATACGTCATAGAAATCGCCGCACCTACCTGTAAAAATATTAAACAATCAATAAATGAGTCCAGAAGACGGCAACTTCTGAATCATATAGAACCTAACCTTATCATCAATTGTATCAAATTTAGTCAACACAATCCCGTCAATGATATGAGGATTGCTGGATTGACTATGATCAGCTAACGCTTGATTGAATTTCACTAATTGATCAACAGCTTCGTTCCCAACAAGAGCTTCACCGACGAAAAGTACCAGATCCGGCTCGTTCACTTTGATCAACTTAGCCAAGGCTCTCATCAACGGTTCGTTGTCTTGCATTCTGCCAGCAGTGTCCACCAAGACTATATCGATTTTCGAGTCCTTAGCAAAACGAATTGCCTCCATGGCTATACCAGCCGCGTCTTTACCATATCCTTTCTCATATAGTTGTACCATAGTTACATTTCCGTGTTTCTCTGGCGGATGCAATGCATTTAAATGGCGCGTGTGGGTTCTTAGCTGTTCGACTGCGCCAGCTCTAAAACAAAATCAACACTCTGATTTTAACACCCCATGAAATAATTCCGTGTTATAAATAATGCAAATAGTTCATGAAGATATATAACATACCTGAAAGTATCGCACGCAGCGATCAACACACGGAAATTGTTTTCGATGAGCCAGAAACAAATCTTTGCCAAGTTCGTTGATTTCCCTACCCCGTTAACACCGCAAAAGGTCATCACGTAAGGTCTCTTACTCTTCTTGGCTTCCATCGCGTCTCGCAATATATCCACACGCCTCTTCGGGGACAGAATTTGCACGAGCGCGTCCGTCAGCGTCGCTTTCACGGTGCTTGTCACGCTGTCGAACGTACCGAGTACCTTTCCCTCGAGTTTCACGCCGACAGAATCACACAGTTTTTGAGCAATGTCGGCGGCCACGTTCTTTGTAATCAAGTGATCCTTCAACTTGTCCAAAACCATGACCATATCGTCGTGCTTCAAGGACTTATTACCAACCAGGCTCTTGAACATGGAAAACATGCCACTAGATTTCTTTTGTACTTGTGGTTTGGAATCTTCAATCTCCTGGTCGGATTCGTCCTCCGACTCGCTTTCTACTTCTAAATCGCGAATGCCACCCTTCATCCGGCCCACTAACTAAAAGACATTGTTAAGTAATTCTTAGTATTACAGGAATTACTGTTACTAGTGGTTGGAACTGTAATATTACTGTTGTATCAGCTGGTACGTAGTCACCACTCTCTTCTGGCTTATCTTTGGTACGTTCTAAAGTAGCTAGGTCCTTAACAGTTCCACCTAATTCCCACACGCGAGGTTTCTTACCAGCCTTCTCTGGTTTAGGACTTTTCCTATGAAATACAAGTTGTTAATCCCTTGATCTCAAAAGTGATGTATATTATTTTAATTTATAGTGCAGCAAACTTACTGCTTATCAACTTTATCAACTTTTTTCTTTTTACCAGTCAATTTCTGAGCCAGTTTCAAACGGTTCGCGATTAGAGTCTCTTCATCGATCTCTCCATTATGATTATGATTATTCGTTTCGTTATTTGGTAGATCCTGCTTTGGAATCTCTTGAACTTTTACTGGAGAATAAAATAAGAATGAATGATTAAATACGAAATCGAAATTGACGACATAGTAAAAACTTTGTCTATGAGTAACTTGCGGCAAGAATAATTTTAAATACATTAGGAGATAAAATTATTAACATTGATTTACCTTGTTTTTTATTATCTTTGTCATCTTTTCGAATGATCATACTAGCCACAGTCTTTTTTGATTTCTGACTCTCATCAAAAGTACGCATTTGTTTAGGTATCTTCGCCTGTGTCCGTGCCCATTGTTCAGCCATAGCAAGTACATTCTCATAATTAGAGTGGAAATTGAAATTACCAAACCACTGAGATCTTCCCAATTCATTCTTAAATCTGTCCCTGAACTCCAAATGAATATCATTTAAAAATTTATCGACGTAGGATAACTGCAGTATCTTCTGATATGCTACCACAAACACTAGCTCAAACTCATTGTCAAGTTTATACTGTAAACGTAAAGAATCATGCTCAAAGCTGTGATTCCCTGTACGTTCCTGGAAAGAAAAAATTACAACATTTGTTACAAGAAATATTAATAACTCAACTATAGAATAGATTCACACAGAAATTTCTTTACACTGCTTAGAGGTCTATCAAGTCTCAAAAACAAGTTACAATGCTGTTACAGTTTATCATAATGTTAACTACACTGAATTCTAAATAATTATTATTTACGAATTAATACTATGAATTTGTAAAACCAATAGTTAATTAATAACCAAAATGTTAGAAATAGACATCATAAAGGGAGCTACCAATTTTCTTTATTTTTATTAAATGTAAAAGACCTCAAACTGTTATAAGATATTACTACAGTAATTCGTGTATTCTGTTATTATCTGCAATTTATCAATAACATTTACTGTCAGACTAAAATAATATTGAATATAGTGTATATACAAACATTATATAAAGTCATAGGAGGCGTTTAGAATGATAAACAATATTGTAGTTTGTTATTGTGTTCACTACAGAGCGTGTTTGCTGTTATCATACCTAACCCTCGAAGTTAAAGAATTAATTATCAACATTTTATGGATAGTCTATTATGTAAGGAATGTCTTGTACATTATTTTATTTAAATTACAGACTTAACACGTGATTGGTGTCTCCAATAATATTCCATATGGATACAGGGAAACATGAAAAAAAATAAGGATCGTTGACAGAATTACACTTACTTGCAATATGACACTTCGTATCAGCGCATTGACACTAGGAGTGAATATTTGCGAGGTACTTTGGAAACACCAAAGCACGATACCCCCTTTACTGAATATAGTAAACAAGTCGAGCATTATTGCACTATGATTCAATAATAAAAAATGCTTTTCATTCAACTCAGGATGATCTAACCTACCGGTGATCGCGCAATTTGATTTCTGTACACGTCAGATACGGTCAGGTACTACGTGAACCATAAAACAAAACATACAAGATAGTACGAAAGCTATACAAAGTAACTGTAACATAGAGGTCTGCTTCGCATGGATCGAATTGGGTAACCCCCAATCCCGTGTGGTGACAACGTGGGGTCATAGAACCCCTGGCGGAGGCGCCAGAGACCCATTTGACGAGAACGTGGGGTCATAGAACCCCAGCAGGTGGCGCCAGAACCCCTATGACGAGTCGTGGGGTCATAGAGCCCCGGGTAGCAGGCGCCAGGGACCCTGTGTCTGTGAGGAAGTGGAGTCATAGAACCCCCGGAGCATATGCAAGAGTTTTGAAACGTGATTCTTTATCGCTGTTGCTCGTACGAATCTCGAGCTCGGTCTAACGTTGCTCGTGCAACTTTCAAAATCTGACTGACACTTGTGCGTGCTTCCGTGAGCAAATTATATAGTAACCCCAACGATGGCAGTTTCTGCAGATACTACTACAGTCCAAGTTTAAAAGACGTAGGCAGTAGTTAGCTTCTGTAGTAACCTGTTGAACCAAACAACTATAATTAGTATAGGATTGTACAATATTTATGCAGTTATATTTAAGACAATCCGATGAAATGAAGCTTATATTACCTGACGTATGTTTATTGAAATATATATACAAATTATAATTATTCCGGCCAACTATTTTCCGATGTAATTAAGCGCCCAAAATGATCGTCGTGGGTCTCAAATTATTCCTGACGATTTAATGCGTAAACCCAATACTGCAGAACACCAGAATTAGTACAATTATTTATGCTACTATTAACGTTGACCCCTTATGGAGTGGCAACCCCAACAACAGGTTTGGATTGACAGTGTATTCCATCATGCATACCCCGTTTAGTTCACTTTAAATAGCTCTTACACCGTTGTACGGATAACTTTCGTCTAGATAAAATACTCGATTTATAGCTGAAAAAACGTAGATTAATCTCCTCTCATTGAAAATAACAATAAACAACCAGAACACTGTTAAAATCGCATTTCATTGCGTAATACCACTATTTTTTTGACTGGTGGCGCCACCCGTGGCGAATCGCTGAAACTACTAGCCAACTACTAGCCAACTACTAGCCTACTATTTCTAAAATAATCCTAGTTTGATGTAATATAGAACGTGGTTTTATGAAATAGATTAGAAGTTCGCAGCCATTAGCTCGATATTGTCTTCAGTTTATAGTATTTTACCGATGACAATACCGATTGCCCAGGCCTCACCACGAGGAGGTTGCTGCGAGTGGAGGCCCAAGGCAAGTAGATGGAATCACAAGTTCTACATCTACCCACCTTTCACAATAAACCTTATAAATTACTTAAATCTTAACTATATAATACTACCGATACTAAAATCCCTCGGCGGATGACTTC